AAAGTTTATGGTATATAGAAAGCGTACTGAAGTATTTTTCTATGTTTCTATTTCTTTCGCTGCTTTTTGCAATCGTAAGAAAATGTACCGGCTTCTTGTTCGTTTAACTTCCTTGGAGAAATTGGAAGTATCTACGGATATATATGGTGACCGAGGCTTCTTTGACGTGGAAATCTTGAATTCTAACCGAGGCTTCAGGATTTTTGCGTATTACCGTTGAAATCCTGGATCGTCTTCGGGTTCAAGGATTCGAACTGCCCGAGGTTTCCTAGGAGCTATATTCTCGCAAGAAGATTTGGTTACCGGGAAGATTTCCTGTTTAACTTGCTCGACATAATATTTGGTTTGCCGAGCTTCTTGGTTCTAAAGATTTTGAACTTTCCCTGAAGTTCTGGCTCCCGTGATATCCGTGAAGTTCCTGGAACTCGGAGAATTCGGACCTCCCGGGATTTCCTAGCATTTAGGTGTTTTTGAGCCTGCGATTAGTAAATTTAATAATCAATCTCTGAATCTGCTTCTGACACCGAAATTCGTGTACACGTTGCATAAATTGTCATTAACAATTCAAAGGGAATACTTACAGTATAATGCTCTAATGTTAGCAGTGTTTGATATTTATTACTCGCAAAATTAACACAAAACATCTTGACAATCAGAAAATTGATAATGAGAGAAAGTTTGTAATAATTTGAAGAAGAGTACGATTTATGCCTTGAGACTCACTCGAGTGTAACACTTCAATGTAGACAATTTAATTTTCGTTATTTCTATAGAATCTTTTTAATTAAATTTGTAGACAGATGACAGTGCGTCATACTGTAGATGACCCGGTTAGATTAAAATGCTTGTCAAGTAGAATTATAATGAAATCTTTCATCTCTCGATTTTCCGGAAAGAAGAATGAATAAGTATATTGCGGGGTGATGGATTTTTAGAGACTCTTTATCGAATTCAACGAGCAAGAATTCCTGGGAGGTCTGATTTCTCCGGAGACCGGCCGAGAAAAGGGGAGAATCAGATTGACCGTGGAACGTCCAAGAATTGGGAGGGTCTGATACTTTTGCTTTTGAGTACCCGACTCCTTAATTGTCCGTGGGCTTATTTAATTACCGGTCAATATTTCTATCCGTCGAGTTTCGAGAGATTCAAACTGAATCTCTTCATTAACAATCTTAACGTATAAAACACCTCCCTAGTAATTTTATTTCTAATTATTTTTTATCGTTTATTTAAAAGTCTTCTATACTTAACGATCAACCTTTGAGCAATTGATTACAAAATTTTTAACAAATGTGCAACGATGTTTCTAAATATCTGTTTTTATTATTTAACCTTTTGTACTCGAAAGTTTTTCACTGGAAATATTCAAAATTTTTCGAAGATATACAGACGACATTGTGTGAAACTAATTTAACAATAATTCACAGATAAATTACGGAACAAAGTTATTTTATTGAATTATTTCACATAGCAACACAAAGTTTCATTTAAAATACTAAATATTTAGCTTCATAGTTTTGCTGTATTAAATCAAGCGGTGACTGACAGTCACCTCTCGAGTGCAAAGGGTTATTAACTGGAATCCTTCAAAAACATTACCCTATATTTTTTTATTAAGATCGGTAATTTCAGCATTTCACATTTTTCTGCTGCCAATTGACAATCTAGGAAACCCGAGTCGACCCAGTGAATCAAAGTGCCATTCAGCGCATCGCGCCAAAACAGCAATATTTATCCCGAATCTTATCATCATGTCCCTTCGCATTTCGGCGTTCCGAGTCCAGCCATAAAACGACCTTTGCTCCATTGTCCTCCACCCCGAACACCCTAATCCAGAAACACACATCGGCTACTGCTTTAGCCCGGATATTTATTACCGGGAACCGTTATCGAGTTGCCCCGCTATGCCGTGAGAATTCCAGTTAACCGTCCTGGCCGGTCGTTTGACATCATGATTCTGCGAATATATTATATATGCATTTTAAGAAGCGCTGCAATATATCGCATTAGAGGAATAAATAATATAACCAAGTAATATAAAGTAAATGATACATATGTCGACGACGAGATTTGATACGCTCTTCAGTTAAAAAGGACGCACAGTTCAAATAATTCTAGGACAAGCTACTCCAAAAACTTGAGGCACATTTCTTACAAACTTGTGAAACAGACTATACCTAGAATTGCATAACGTAGACACCTTTCTCGCAAAAAAATTTCAAGTGTCACTGGAAACCTTTCACCTTTCAGCTACATCGCGCCGCTATAATGGTTTTCCGCTGGGCAACGTTTTAAGATAAGAAGTACTAAGTGCCTCCCTTCGCTGTAATATTCACAAGAAAACGAACAAAAATATTACGCATTCCCTGCACTTGTCTTCTTCGCCCTCATTCCGGAACCTTGAATCTATCCTCGCTAACATCGTATTTATAATCGTTCGAAGTGTTTACGCATGCAAGTGTGAAACAGAGAAAAACAAAGGGGAATAGAATAGTTCAGCTAGGCAAAGAGGCCGTGGGAGGAGGTGAACAGAGTGAAAAGGGAGGTGATTCGAGGAGGGCCTTTGACTCGGTCGCGAAGGGGACCAAAGCAACCCCTTAGCTCGGTCGGTCTGCAAGGGTGCGCGATATTGATTCTCGCCTGCCGCTTTCCAGCGACAAGACTCCGCCGAGCTATATCTGTACCTAGTGATGGGAAATGATACGCAAAGTGAGATGTAACGATTTACACGCATCTACGTTCACGCCAATGTCATTCTCTATCGTTAAATCTCGCTTTGTCGCAGCCTGTTTCGCTCACTTTGTTTCGTTGCGTTCTTGGCAACTCTGCCAACAAAACTCTGTTGGAACTGAGGCGTTACTGTTGCCGAGTATTACGATTTAACACTTCTCCTTGCCCTTGTGTACTTTCACTTTATAGATAGTCTTATGCAAATTCCAAGTTTTAGAAACACAATTAGAGAAATGCGGCAGACAATGGTTTCTAATGGCAAACATTATAAAAAGCTGTACACTCGAGTGGTTTACATATTTCTTCGTTTCGTGTGCATTCCGAGCAATTAAGTGCTCTCAAATTATCCACAAATGCGTACGAATCTGCAGTCTATTCATGAAAAACACTGATATCAAGCCCATCGCTACCTGTGTTACCGTGGAGGTGATCCGATGCATCGGTTGTCTACCTGTGCGTCGTTTCACTCGTACACGCAGGCGTTGGGCTCGTTGCACGTCTCACTGAGCCACGACACGATCGAGGCATCGCGCCGCGGCGCAGCCCACAGCCGTCGCTGTCTCCCCTTTTCCTTTTCCGTGATAGCCGATAACGATCGCCGTTCGAGTGGCTGCTCTCGCTGCGACGATAAGGATCTCCTGGCGCCCTTCGATATCCGGCGGCCGTATACCCGTGTTGCGTTTGATAGGATTCGTACTATTCGAGCCACGGGGATCTCCGTGAAAATGGTGAATCATGGTACCCGCCGATCCTCCTTGAGATCCGTCTAAATTGATGCCATTGGTGATCGGTGTTTGTAGCTATTCAGAACTGCGATACTTGAATTCTGTAATGATCGGTGCGATCGTCGAGTGACTCGTTCGATGAGTTGATGTTCGGTTTCGATGGGAGGTTTAGTCGTTTGTTACGGCGAATTTGGAATCTTATGGATGGATGATTCGATTAGTAAATGGACTGGTGATAAAATAATTCAGATTTGTTCATCCAGGGTAACTAAGCTGCATTATGAATCATGTTCCATTATTCTCACATGTTTTATTACTTGTATTTTTGGTGTAGTGTAATGCGACATTACACTAATTTGGATTGCGATATGTCTGTACACATTATTTGTAATGAAGCTACGGTGCTTACTTACGCTTCTATAGTAGAAATGAATTGTGAATTTAGAGTGAAATGAAAGGTTCAAGCAAGTATAATAGTTTCTTACTCGAATTCTTACTGGCAAGAATAAATTCCCGTTTAACCCGCGCTTTTTCAAATTAATCTAGGGGGGAAGGGAATTTACATGAACATCCACGGTCGCAGCCATCGTAATACAAAATATATCACTCCTGTTTCTCGAAGGTGCTTGGAAAGTTTCGTTTAATTGAGTTCCGACGGGGTGTGGTGAGGGGCGAGAGGAGAAGAGCGTTTTCTCTATCAATCTCGGTCATTTAGAACCATAACTGGACGTCATCGGAGTCGCTGAACAATCCCGCTTTGTTCCCCTCGGCAGGTTGCTCGCTGCTTCCTCGCGATGATCTTATCTTTCACGGTGCATCGTGGCCCAACGAGATTAATAACGCCAGATCGGGCCGCCTCGCAGTTCAAGTCGCCTCGCTCGAGAAAATAGGGGCAATAAAAGGGTAGAGGAGTGAGATAGAACAAGGTAGAGTTGGAGAGAGAGAGAAGGAAGGAGCAAGGGAAGCTGGCTCGCACCAGACAAATACAAGACAATGAAGATTAATGTTTCGCCCCGGTTCCATGGCTGTCCTGCTAGCCAACAGCACCGTGTGAACCGGGTTTTCGGTACTATGCATCGACGGCCGCCTCTGTTTCTGCGGTATTGTCGACGATTCTCGAGTCTGAACGCTTTTCTCCGTTAGCGTCTCTATCCGAATGATACCTAAAAATTTTCCTTATTTTCTACAGATAATTTTAATTCCTTTAAAATCTAACTGTTCATGACTCGAACACCTGAGAAAGTTGTTTTAAATCGGTAGGGTAATGTGAACCAAATGATATATTTTCATGCATCCTCGCAAATATACTGCGTTAGATTCATGGTACTACGCGAGAACAACGTGTCAAGATATTATGCAGCAACGTGTACGCTGTTAACAGGAAACGATTTTTGAACATACAAACATGATCATCGAGAAACTACGAATGAACGGTCGGGCTATATAAAAATCGGTTCCCTGATTTTAGTTGTTTTGTTCTGTCTTCTTTAGTTTAGTTAAATCAAAGTAACATTCAAATAACAAAGAATCATTCTATGATTCCAGATCAGCAGTCTGCGTGACATGGATGTGAGCTTCACGAACGTATTAGAGGGGGCTCGCCAGTACTTCCAGGGACTGCCCGTACCGAGTACAGGTGGTACGGCCGCGTCAGCGGATCACAATCTCGCGACATCAACGAGTACCGCCTCGTCCACGTCGGCGTCGTCGCACGACCATGGCACCGGTTCCTCCGTGGTTTCTCCGTCGCCAACAGCAGCACCACCAGCCCCGCAAGCACTACCGCCACTATCGTTACCGTCGCAACCGGCTTCGAGCAACAGCACCGCCACCACTACTGTCGCTGCCGCGAGCATCACCGGCAACGATCAAGAACCGCCGAGCCGTTATCACAGTGACGTCCGGCCGTCCTCAGTGGAGAACAGCGGCGCCTCCAGTACGAACAGCTTCTGGAGTCCATCCGTGGAACCGTATCCCCCGCAACCAACCAGGGTTGAAGTTCCCGATACGAGGCCGGGAGACGATGGATCTTCGATGGAGGCAAGCTCGTCGTCCTCAAACACGATCACGTTAACCGAGATGCAACCATCCAGCAATCGATCCTCCGCGTCCAGTTTCTCCCAGAAACAAGCGTCCTCGTCGTCGTCGTCCTCGTCCTCGTCGCAGGACCACCAGCACGCGCAACCCACAACGACGACGACGACGACGACGACGAGCACAGACGGGGCTTCGCTGCACCTGCATCAGATGCAACCGCCCCAGCAACCGGCATCCCCCGGCCCCGTGTACCAGCAACTGAACACCGTGTCCCGCGCATCTTTCTCCACCGCGGAAATACTCGCCTCGTCCCATCAGACGACTTATCAGACTGCCAGCGAGCGGCAACCGCAACCGAGCGCCTCTGTCGTCGCGCAAAGAACTCAGTACTACCCCCGTTACCATCACCCGGACATCACGAAGAGCGCGCCGGCCCCGTTTACTCAGAACTCGATCTATCAGTCAGCGAGCGTAGCTGCGGCAACATCCTCGGGCATCGTGCAGCCTACCACAAGGCCAACACCCATGGAGCAACCACACATGACCAACATGCACAGTCAAGGACACAGTCAAGGACATAGTCAAGGACACAGTCAAGGACACAGTCAAGGACACAGTCAAGGACACAGTCAAGGACACAGTCAGGGGCACAGTCAGGGGCACAGTCAGGGGCACAGTCAGGGGCACAGTCAAGGGCACAGTCAAGTACACGGCCAAGCTCACAGTCAAGGACATATCCAAGGGCACGGTCAAGAGCAAAGGGTGCCGAGTTCCTATGGCGGCAATCTCGTCGCTCCAACGAACGCAGCTACGATTTACGGGTCACCGTCTCCTCAGAACTATCGTCCGTTGCAACATCAGCCCCAGAATCGAACAAGTTCGTCGAGCAATCCCGAGAACAGGCCGTTGCACGGGGAGAGACCGCACTCGTCCCGCGTGTCCTCTTCCCCGTCCTGTTCCTCGGTGAATCCGTGCAGCCCGCGGCACAGCGGTAGCTTGAGTCACATTCCTTCGTCGTCGTCGTCATCGTCGTCGTTGTCGTCGTCGTCGTTAGTGACGACAGCGTCATCGTCGCAGAATCTTCCGGCGCACATTCCATCGTCGCATCTGCCGCCCGCGGGCAGCGGCCACCGTTCGCAACAACAGCAACTGCAACAGCAGCAATCGTCCCACATGCAGCAGCACCAGCAACAGCAGCTTTCTAGTCGAATAAACGCGTCCCCGCATTCGATCAGCGCCACCGCGTACAACAGCCGTACGGTCGCTCACGGGGCACCGGCTTCGTCCTCTTCCTCATCCGCCTCCGCCGTCCCGTCGTCCTCCTCCTCGACGTCCTCGTCCTCTAATCAGATGCCACCGCCGCCAGCGTTGAGCGGTTATCACCCTGTTGCTTCTCCCCATGATGCTCCTCATCATACCGCTCCATCACCGCACAGACAATCTCCTCACGTGTCCACCCTGCACAATCCTCACGCCTCCCCTCATCACGCCCCGTCCCCGCACGCAACCTTCCAACCCCATTCGCCCACGTACCCCCCGCCCCCGCCTTCGGCAACCTCGACGCCTCACTCGTACAGCCTTCCGATCACGTCGCAACCGTACCAACCGAACCCCGGTTACGCCGGCAACCTGTACCCTCTGCCGCCGCAGTCTTCGTATCATTCCTTCCAGAAAAATCCACAGCCGCTCCCGCCGCCACCGCCGCAGCCCCATTCGCAGCCGAGTTACTACTCGCAGTCAAGTCGATCTCAAAGTCAAACGTACGTACAGCAGATGCCGATCCCGCCGCCCGGTCCAACTCAATCAATCTGTTCTGGGACTGGAAACGCGAACGGACCGGGATACCATCCAACTAAACCGGTGACGTACAACGGCGTGGACTCGAAGAGGACTCCGATGGAGGTACCTTACCCCGCCTCCTATCGATCCTCCTTGACGTCCTCCGTGCAGAGGAGCAACACGCACAACCTGCCGCCCATCGCCGCGCTCTCTTCCTACCACTCGAACAGGCAGCGGGAGCTGACTGGTAAAGCGCAACCGATGCAGCGGCATCATCATCGCGGCTATCCGACCAACTCGCCGAGCAAGGTCTCTGTGGTGACGCCTCCGGTTTCCTCCATAGCAGCACCGCAACGGATCGCTGATTATCCAACGACGATGCCTGGCATGAATCACGCGATACCGGTGAATGGGCGAACCACTACTGTCGCGAACCCCTCGTACAGTAGATATTCTAATCAGCACAACTACCCGACCTACGCGACTACCACCGCGCCCAGTCACCACGGCAGCAACTCGTCGAGCACCACCGTCACCTCTATCGGTATCACGGCAAGGTCCGTTCCACCGGCTAGCACCATGCACGCGTATCAGCCAACGGATACTACTCGCACGGGAGGCTCTTATCATCACCAGTCGGTCAGAGCTAGTGACGATTACGGATACAAGGAGTATCCGTATCAAAACTCTTCCTCGTCCACTGTCCAGTCTACCGCGGCGAATATAGTCACCCCGCCTCCGCAGACGAATGGAGTTAGAAAAAGGGAATCGCCGTTGGACCTGTCGGTGAAAACCGTCAAGACATCCGCGGACTCCACCGCTCAAGACGACATCGAGACGGCTACGGAGAAACACGTGAGCAGCTCTACTGTGATCTCGTCGAGGAGCAGCAGCAACAGTAACGGATCTAGAAACAGCATGCTGCCGCCACCGGTTCAAACCCCACCGCAACCTGCCTCGTATTCCGCATTCGACAATCGGCTCTCGAGCAACAGCGGTCGTGGCATTCAGGCTACGAGCGGTGTCCGTGCGTCCACGCCGCAAACGGTCTGCGCGCCGAAGGTCGACTTCCTGCCGGACTTTAATTCCACGCCGCTGCGTCATCACCACGGCCAACCGCACGAGAATACTTTTCAGCAGCGTAGGGGCTCCGCGCAACAGCTGTACGCCCCGCCCCCGCAGCCGCTCTCCACGCAGCATCCTAATAATACCGCTCCACTGCCCCACATGTCTTCGTTCAAGAAGTCTTCACTGCCCACCACGCAGGTGTACGACGCCGTGACAGCGGCAGCGCCACCGCCGCCACCTCCGCCACCGGTGGTACCGTCGTCCTCTTATCTGACGGCGAACGAATCTGTGTCGTCCAGGTCCTCCAGGTACCCGCCAATGGTGGACCCGGCCAGGATGGGACACGCTGGCTTGAACATCCATGATTACCCGGCCGAGTCGAAATACTACATGGACAGCAGGAACAAGTTTGGTCAGCCTCCTCCTCCTCAGAGGGATCGGACTTCCTCGAAAAGACTTGGAGACGCGATCTATGGAACGGCGGTACCACACAAACAACCCAGATTGGACACGTGGTTTCAGCAGCGACTATCCACCGCGAAAGCGTTGTACGAGCAACAGAAGAGGCAAGAGATGAATCTACCTGTTCCCTTGCCGAATGGTACTCTCGTGGCGCCTAACGCTTACGAACAGAGGTCGGACAACGGTTACTCGTCGTCCGAGCCGTCTCGGTATCAGCAAGCCTACTGTGATAAGAGAAGTTACGCCGAGCCTAAGATCACCCATAGTTCATCGCCGTACAGTCATCCAACTGTCGCGAAACCTACCAACGTGCACTCTCTGCCGCAACAGCTGAGTGCCAGCCAGTCGGCTTATTCGAGTTACCGGCAAACCCAGAAAGCTGGACCACCTTCGGTGGCTACTTCCGCTGGGCAATCTAACGATCCGCCGAGTAACACCGGCGCTGATAAGCGGGTGCTTAGTTTGTTGAGGAACAGTCTCGAAAACAAACAACAGAGGGAAGAACAGATGAACAGTCAGCAACCTATTTTGGCTAATCATAGTCAGCAGAGTTTCCAAAATAAGGTGAGTCTCTTTTAATTCAAGAATTCAAGGTGGACATAAGAAAACGTTAAGAACTTCTGCAGACTGGAAGATGTTTATTTATGATTGATATATATACTCATTGGTATTGTCCTTTTTACCTGATTTTTCATTAAGATGCACTGTAGTGGAAAAGAATAAAAACTGAATTTTTAATTTTTCTTTCAATGAGAATGGAACTTCTATTATGAATTTTTGTTTTCTTTATTCTGTGGACATTTGCACTATTGTGATTAGAATCTTATGCAACGCATTTCGGTACTAACAGGAAGACATCAAAGATGTCAGTAGGCTAGTAACTATTAGACTAACAGCGATGATTTCTATTCCCCAAGGTGGTTGCGCCGGTAGAGCCGAAAACAAATATAGGACGCCACAACCTGTCACCATTCACAGCTGCTAGCTTGCTGGAACGAAACAGCAATACACCACCCCATTACAAGTTCCATGTACCAAGAGCCGTGGACTCGATCACTCAGGAGGCACCCCGCAGCTTATACGCCTCGAGAGTAAATTCATCTGCGACGCTACCTGGCAAGGAAGCACTCCTGGGTCCTAGGGGAGCCGAGAGTCAGATTCACCGTGACAAAGACGACGGTCTCGCAGCCATATTAGCAGCGAAGATCAGAACAAAAGCAGAACTTAAACAGGTGAATGGGATTAACATTCTTGCATCTGCGACTTCACACTTGCCATAAAGTTCCCTTCAATGTCTGACGATCTGCTTTTATTCATTCCAGGTGGGAACAGGACAATTTGCCAGTAAGCCAGTCGCTGTGCCGTCTTCCCAGGAACCGTCGTCGACACCTAAAGGTACACATTCCTTCGTTCAAGCTCACGTTAATTTAGGGTATCTGTAATGTAATTAATGTTCACTACATTTTATTTGTACGAAAGAGAGTTTTTCAAATTGCCGATTAGGTAAACTTCACCAAGATATCTCCCTTGAACGAACTATACTTCTAAATCATGTATGTTAGTAGGATTACGTCCCCTGTAGCTTCTCAGAACCACTGTAAGAAATCTTGTGGATCCTATCCTAAATATAACTTGAATAATTGATCGTTCAACCACACAGTACTTGCTACATGAATAATACAAAAACCCAGTTCAACGATTCTGTTATCAAAGATTCTGGTTATCAAAGATCTCTATTTACATTGAACGATTCAACAACATTTATTACAAGAATTTAATACGAACTTGTAAACCTTATTTTATATATTTTCAATGTCACATAGAATACTGTCTACCGCACCTAATTATGTTCAAAAATTACTGTTTACAGAGGTAATAGACAGCGCTGCTTCAACGTCCGCCCCGCAATCGGGATCATCAGCGGGTAGTCCTCCGAAGTTGACACGCGAAAAAGTGGCTTGCTTGCCACCTAGAAGACGATTATTCTCTAGGACAGAAGAGGAGAACTTGTCGGTGGCTGCGACCGTACCTGTGCCGGCTCCTGCGCCCGCCATTGCATCCACCGTGCCGGCACGTGCCAGCGGGTTCAGAAGTTCCTCCGAGACGTCGGTGTTCGATTTCAGGGAAAGCGATTCCGAGGGCGAGATGCCGGTTCTCGAGCGGCAAACGCTAGAGGAGATGAGGAGGGACAGGAAACAACTGTCCAAAGTACAACCACCTGTACCCCTTAACGACGCTATGTGCATGGGCATGACATCCTCGTCGGATTTAGTGAAGATAGAACTGAAGGTAAGTGGACCCTTTAAGCGTCGGTCTCTCTATATAGCCTGAGGTTCTACCCAGGAAATCGTAGAAGGAAATTGAGACAGATTTTAGTGGACTGTTCACAAGGCAGATTGAATATACAATGCGACCGTGGTTGAGGGGTTACGGATTATTGTCGAGCCAACTACTAAGGGTAAAAGAAAATGATAATACGGCCCTGGTGAATCTTTTTATTCATCACTTTAAATTTCTTCTTTCTTTTTAATAATGTGAAAAATGTTCTTAAGATTTTATCTAGGTTATATATATGTAGGGTGAGCCACGTAACTTGATTACCTCGAATAATTATTTATATTTTTTTAATATGCGAGAGAGATTATTTTGTGATAGTTATAAACTGTAAACATTTGCATTGGAGTTTCATATGAACATTTAGACTCTAAATTTGCCAATTCTTATTTCGCTGGAAGTAGTTATATATAGAATGGGGACAATGTAGCGGTACTTTTAACGTTTAACAAAAAGTTTATATGATGTCTGTACATTAAAGAAAACAATAATTATCAGTATTTCGCAAAATACTTATCTTCTATTGTTATTCTGCTTTAGGAGAATGAGAAGATTGCCGAGGTCGACACTTTCTGGTCCAGCGCTTGCGATAAGTTCATGGAACAGCTTCGTACCGGCGACGCGATGAAGAAACGGGGTCGCAAGAAGAAGATCAGCTGTACGGTTATTTCCAAGCTCGAGGACACGGGAAACGAGAGTGGCAAGGAAACCGATGCTAACACATCGTCTCAGATTAAACCCGAAGACATCAAGCAAGAGTTACAGGACGTCGAATCGCCACCAGATGTTAAGGAAGAATTCCCAGAAACTAGTAAGGAGGACGAGATCCCGGTAGCGACGAAGGACATCAAGGTCGAAGTGAAAGTGGAACCAGAGGTCAGCAAAGAATACGACAAGGATTCTAGCGATGATTCTGACGAAGTGCCGCTGATCCGAAGGGCAAAGAAGAAGCTGAAGAAGGAAGAGAGCGATGGCGAGGAAGAAATTATATGCAGGAAGAGACGAGTCGGTCGAGGTAGTAGGATCAAGTTGCAGTCATCTAGTGGTAGCGAGTCGTCCAGCGAAGAGAGCGATGCTAGTACAGAATTCGGTCACGGTTCCTCGGTAGCGGACAGGCTACGAGCAAGAAAGCGTACATCCAATAACGGAACGGAAACTGAAGGAATGAAGCTTCGATCGAGGGATACTACACCACACAAGGCTAAAGTAGAAAAAGAATCCAAATGTTCCACTTCGAAAACTAGTTCCACTTCTCAGAAGGGCAAACCGAAGCCTCTCTTCGGAGACGGTAGCGACTTCAGACCAGGCTGGGAGGAAGAAGTCTACGTGTACAAGAAATCTTTGAGGATGCCAACCAGATTGATCACAGTGTCGAAACCAACAAGGTTTCACAGGCTATCCACTTCGTTACCAGACTTGGATCCAGGGTCCCCAGCCCTATCTGTATCAATGGACAGCTCTGATGTGTGTTTAAGCAGAAAGAAACTGGTGGACAGCGATGTGGAGTCAAATTTCAGCTTCAGTACCTCGGGACTCGATCCAGGCAACAAGATCGATGACGAAGAAGCCACCTCGTCCACAACAATTTCGTGCCCCTCGAAAGCTATGAAGTGCAGCAAGTCGGAGGGTAGCTCTATCGTCGATGTTCTGGCTCAAAAGGTGGGTACCAGCAGGAAGGAGCAGAAGAAAAAGCAGAAGGATAAGACGGAGAAGGGTAGCAACAAGTTGCTTCCTAAGAGTAGCAATGAACCGGAACTGTTACCGACGCCAAGTTTGACGCCATTGCTGGAAACAACTAAATTGTCGAAAGGCAAGTCGCCGATGAAGGACTCCAAGTCATTGAAGCCTATCAAAGTGACGGACACATTCCTACTGGGCTACTTCCGCAAGGAGACGGTGAATAACTTCAGGGACACGTTTAAGAACAACCACGCTCTGCCGAACGAGTTCTCTACGCTGGTGTTGAAGAGTAGAACTCGCACGGAGACCAGAGTGTTGAAGAAGCAAGCTACCATCAGGGAGGTGTTCGGTGAGGAAAGACCAGCCTCGGCACCACCAATGCAAAATCACGACGATACGTCGCAAGACGACGATTCGCAAACGGAAACGCCAGAAAATACATTGTGCAAGGCGAGGACGTTAAAACAGAAAGTGGTTTCAAGGTTGAAGAACGCCGGAATCCTGAGGAGCCATAAAGCGATCTTGAACTCAAAGCGTCATTTGTTGATAGCGAAGAGGCGAAAGGATCTGCTAAAATCATTGGCGGAGAAAAAGTTGCAAAGTCTGAAGAACGAGGCGGAAGATGAAGCTGCTCAGGAAGAGACTAACGACGCGCAAGAGGCGGAGAACAATGAGTTGGACGATGAAACCAACGAGTCGGAGGTTCCTAACAAAAAGAAGCTCAAACTACGGACCAGTCGGCGAAAGTTCCGTTCTGGATTTGACTATATTCGCAAAAAGAAGAAACCGTTGAAGAAGGATGAGACGTTACCTAAAGAAAGAAAAAGGGTATGTGATTCTTACGGTGTGTTTATTCAAGTATCATGTTTTCATGACGTAGACGTTTTATGGAGTGTTTACATTTCAGCAAGTATTGACGAGGCCCAGTCCAGAATGTGTCGCGGACATCCAGTCGGAGATTAGAACTTGGGTGATCAAGAAAGGCGTCGGTGAAACGATGTTGCATCGGGCTGCTAGACTTGGTTACACGGTAGGACATCAATTTAAGAAATAAATTAGAATTATACTATAAAATTGCTTAGGTATTTCTTTCATTTTCAGTCATTTTGTAAATAAAATATTTGCATTTTGTTTGTAGGATGTTACAGCGTATTGTTTAGAGAAGCTCAATAATGCCCCGAGTCCAAAAGACAACGCAGGGTATACACCTCTTCACGAAGCATGTTCGAAGGGCCATCTCGAGATTGCGAAATTGTTGCTTTCGTACGGAGCGAATGCCAGCGAAAGTGCGAATGGAGGAATAAGGTAATTTTCATCTGTGATCGATCTATCTTGTCGATGTAAATATATCATTCAATGTATTTAAAATATGATGTCCCATTCGGTTACAGGCCACTACACGAGGCGGCAGAAAATGGTGCAACCGAATTAGTACGACTATTACTTTCCTATGGCGCTGATCCCTTACTGGCTACGTATTCTGGACAGACCCCATTGATGTTGGCAGCAGATACCGATGCCTATTCGATTCTGGAACAACATCTGGATGATATTCAGGGCCGTACGAGCACGCCATGGTCCTTTGGTGGACCATCTTCAATTTTCGGTAATTATCTTACACATGACTTTTGCCTACTCATTTCTTCGTACTCAATGATATGGAACTAAACATGATCATCAATTTAATTTTAGACCCTGAAGAAACCGGTTACAACCCCCTCGACAATCCACCTATGGATAGTCCAGAGCCAGAACTGGACGAAATCGAGATGGAAGTGAGCGACGTGAACCTGCCAGTTCTATTCTCTCTGACCAACGATCCGGACAAATGGGTGTTGCTGCAAGATTTGATGGCCGCGCTGAGGATAAAGAGCAGGGACGCTTTGCTGCGTCAGGTGAACCCTAAAGCTCACGCCGGTCCTCCGGCAGTCGCACACCGTGATGTCATGAGAGAGTTGAAGCTCCAAGACTTCCTAGAGCAGTCAAGGTGTTGCCACCTGTTAAGCGGCGGCGAAAGGATTAATGTGCGCGGCTCGAAAGTGACGCTGATCAAATACAACGAGAAAGTCAGATCCCTGTTGAATGTCGAGAAAGTGGTAATCAGCCTTAGGTGACAGGAGGGGACTCTGGGGCGGTCGTCACCCCAGGCAAGACCGTCGACGTCCGCTGCACGGGACGTCCCGAAGAAGGAGAAGCCGTCGACCAGTTCGCCGAAGAGGCAAGGCAGAACGCGACAGGGTAATAAGACGGCTGATTGAACACGCGGAACGGGACAATGTACAGGCGTAAGAGATTCGAACGAGTTTCGTCGATCGTTCGTTATGCATTTCTTCGATCTCGCTCAATCGGAACACGTCAAAAACAAATAGAACACGCTCCACGTTGCGAGGGGTACGATGAAACATAGGTTAGCCGAGATCGAGCAAAGACGATTGACGACGATTAAACAGCGAACTGTGACGCACTATTATTAGCAGTATTTATTGGAGGATATTCTATTCGTGTCTATTCGCAAGAACAGTGATATTTTATTAAACTAGAGCCAAGCAATCGGGTCTGTAATTGTAAACGCTTCTAGAATTGAGGATTTTGCTGTTGACGCGGCGATAGAAGCACGATATGTCGTTCCTGTCCGAAGATCGTACGACACTACTGAACTTATTTAAGCGTTTAATCTCGAATTGAAGAGACCCGCGATGGGTCCTCGGGAAAAAGTCAAACCGGGATGGTAGCCGGAGACGGTCGCGAGCGAAGGGACAGCGTCATCTAGAAATATTTTTTATCGCAATATGGATCGGGTATGTATGTGTCTGAGCGCATGTATGCGCGTGTGCGTGCGTCTATTGTACATGTCCTACACGCTTCTTTTCCCAAGCATGGTTCAGCTCGAACTTGGAGGATCGAGACTTCCAAGGCTTAGGGGATGTTTACGCGATGCCGACCGATACGCGTTTCGCGTTCTCAATAGACGTGATACCACGTGATTCGCCGTTTAGGGTAACGGAAGGAGACGACCGTCGGAACGCAAACGTCGACTCGTCACCGGCTTTCACGTGTTACCATTTTGTTAGGTTTACTTTCGTTTTTTCCTCCTCCTACTATGTTTTCTTTTTTCTACTGGTAGTCAAGCGAGTCGATCATAGAATACGTCCGGGTAGATTAAATCTTAACTCGTCTAATTAAGTAAGTGTTGATTAGTTGTTCAAAAGCGGAGCATTTACGTTTATTTTTCTGTTCTTTTTTCTCTCGTTTTCTGTTTCTTTCTTTGGGATGTGCAATTTCGTTAGACGATCCTACGACCGAAGTACACGATCGATCGTCGATCCCGGGGCGGATAGAAAATCGGAACGGAACGGGGGAGAAAGATGTCGAGCCGAATTCGGTCAAGCGCTACGTTCACTGTGCAATAACTTTCATCCAACTCGTGATTGACTCTCGAGCGAACGATTTTTTGTTGACCGCATTCGATATTAAGTTGATAATTTGTTTGCGTTGGAACTAGACAAAACGCGATTGCAACGCGTTCACTGTTGCCTGGGTTTGCTAGTTGTTGATTGGTCTGTACCAATATCGCGGGATAAGTTTCTGTTTCCTTCAAAAATTTCTCGCAGAAATTAGCAAATTTCGTTATGTAGTTCAATTTTATTGATATTAGTAATTGTTTGGTTAATCGGTGATATGAGTAGCTTAAAATTGTAGCGTATACGTTAATACAAAATGGCGGGTAACGTGACTACACTGAGCAGTGAACGCGTTAAGGATTATCAATGCGACAAAGAGGAACATTTAGGATATTTTCATCGGAGAACACGGACTTAATGTTCGGCGTCGCCTCTTTTTTGATGAAAAATCCATTGTCAGCGTACTTAGTCGTTCGTGTCTCGACGGAACAGTGCGTCAGCGGCGTCGAAACGAAAAAGGAGCGGGGAGAGCTCAGTGTCGCAAACTTTTACGAGTGTAGTTTAGCGGAAAGCCAGACTTGCGCGTTTCATTTCATACTCTGTATGCAAATTTCAATTGTTATAATCAGTCTCAGGGAACTATCTCTATACGTATCCTCGATATATTCTATGCGTTGCGTGAATTGGACAGGGACGCAGCCAGGCATCGTCGCGCTCGTAGATGAACGATCAAAATGTTCACCCTCCCAAACCAGTTTTATCGCACGGTGAACGTTCTCACGATACGGATAGAAATATTCACGCGACAATTACGATTCACTATTGTAACGATGTACAGTAGAGACAAAGAAAAATAAAAATTCTATTAGAATTCTGGGAGTCGCGTGTAGCAGCGCCGCCTCGATGAGGCGAGAGACATCGATGCCTGGTCACCTCCTGGCCGGTTTCATTTTATTTAGCTGACGATGCGAACAGGAATCTTGACGTGGACAGTGCAGTTTACATATACATATACCTATTTTCGAAACAAGAATTGATTTTCGAGCGCGTGCGTCTCCATCAGCCATCGGACTGGGTTCCGTGAGAGGCCCGTGCACGATCGGCGAACACTGGAAAAGGATGTAATTGTACGTACTGTACGCGATGTACCTTTTCTCGAATGTAAAGTAGATTGCATATACGATGTAAGTAGTAGTGGAAGAAGAACGCACGGCAACACTTGTTTATATTAGCGTAAAAGAAAAAAAAAGCAAAAAGAGAAACACGTGCACACACTCGTGTAATTATAATTCTGCGTACGGACGAAGAACGGCGTTTAGAAGGACTCGAAGAATATTGTAATTTCATTGAATCGAAATGAACCATAGGTACGCTGTATCGCGTATGTACATACTTCTCCCAAGCTAGGGGTTATCGCAATTATTACCGCTAATAATAATAATAATTATTATTATTATAATTATTATTATTATTGTTATTATCGTTATTACTATTATTATAATTATTATTGCGATTATTATTATGATTATTATATTTTTATTATTATTAAATTACTATTTAACACTACCGTCACGAAAACTACGAGTACTACAAACTACTGCTAATTACTATTACTGTCGCCACCAACAACTATTATCACTACTGTCACCGAGTATCCGCTTTTTTTATTGTACGATATATACATAATAGCGATCTATAAATGTACATTTTCTTAGCTGTAACGTTTCCCCCACCAACACCACAACACCCTGCCCCCTTCTTGTAATTTATATATATTCGAGATACTTCTAAATGTGTTAAACTGCTGCTGCTTTATGAGAAAGAAGGAAGAATTATATGTGAGATAAAGAACAAATATATTATATAAATATATATATAAATAAAAATATATATATATAAATATAAATAAAAATATAAATATATATGTATATACACGTACATATATATATATTTTATTTCAGAAGTTTAGTTTAATGAATATATAATGTTAACGCGAGGAAGATAACAAATTGAATTCTCTCTCTCTCTCTCTGTGATTCGTCTAAAGAAAATGGAATTAAGAAAAGATGAAAGGAAAAAAATCAATTGAAGAGTTATGATTATTAATTGATTAAGTATTATTATTATCATCGTCTCATTATCATTGCTCTGTACCGTCAGGTTGTATCGAACAAACCACAATGGACCGACAAACACAGTTTTCGTAACAAAACTCGACTCGTGATCTTTTTCTTTTCGCTAACAGTAACGAGTTATCCTATCGATGTAATAAAAACAAGTATTTTTACCGATATGCCCCTGTTTCATTTACAATAACCTACCTGCAATTAACTCAGTAGAATAAATCATTCCTGTTGATACGATTTTAAGAGTACTTACAGTATTAAAACAGTGTGAACAATTTCCAATCCAAAATATTTAAAATTAAAGTCCAATACGTGATACTAAAGCTTAAAAGTTGTACTTTAACGCGCAAATTATCTTGTTCAAAATTGAACCCCCATGATTTCCGAAATCATATGAAAGCTTTTCCAATTCTCGATACATGAAATTGAAACTTAATTTGGAGCAATTTGTAACAACCCGGAACAACCTGTAACAACTTGAAACAACTCGGAACAATTTTTATTTAGAATTTCAAAGGTCCTCAGGACTCCCGTACCATTGTGGTGTCGCGCTCGATGTTACCGATAATATAAGATTTTCTATACTTCATTTCTGCTACGAGCGTTTTACACCGAATATAATATTTAAAAAACAATTTCCATTGATTTTGTGAACATAAATCGTTTTATACGATTATCCCGTAAATCATCAAACGAGAGATATCTCGTCGGTAATAATGGTATGCAATCTGTAATACCGACATAACTCAAGTTAAGCCTGCTGTACCATCTAGGTGGAACAGTAGTAAACTCGAGAAAGTAATTCAGTTCAATCAATAAAGTCGATAAAGATGTCGACGAAAAAATACATCTACGACCGCTCATCGGAAAACGGTAGATAAACTCGTATGTCCAGTACATCACAGGACTAAAATTTTATTGTCGGTCGGTTTAAGTGAATTCTTATGTTTAACGAGCGCGTCTGGAAGTATATGAGTGTAATGCAAAAAAAGATAGGTACTTCACTAATTGCATAGTTTATCAAAAGCAAAAACGGAAACATTCATTAATCTATACTTAAGCTTTTAGTATCCGATCGAATAGCACGCGTTCAGATTATAAATTCATACAACTCGCAGTTTATCAATAACTCCTAAGCGAGCGTACTGTGGCAGGGACATACAATTCGTTGAGGGATAATTTGATTCTGTGGTAACTCAACCAGAATAAGTCCAAGGGCAGACACCCCCGAAATCGAAAGATGAGAAAAACTGCGATTCACTAAATGCGGGTACCAATCCTCGGAATTACGTCTCGGACATCTGGCCGCGAACAGGATGATTACCAGCGAGTTGTAAAGATGATAACCGTCATGCCGGGGAGAAAAAGCGACGACCGCCGGCAACATTTGTTTCCTGGACGTCCGGCGCGCGAGAGGGACCGCTGTGTAAGTCAATGTCCTTGCATTATCGATCTGCTCGTTTTAACGAGTGCCATTCATTAAGACTTCCAACCTCGATCCTCTTTCCTCCCCTCTTGTTTCCCTTTTCCTTCTTTCTTATAACGAAATGTACAAGCCCGCGCAAAGACACCGTATCCGAGTCGCCGCGGCCATTCCCGCGTTCGACGAAGTTACAATAGAGCGGAAGGTATGTACTAATTGGATGCAGCCTTTCAGCCGAACTGGCGCACTATGAGGTATTTGCCTTCCAAACGCGCTAAAAAACATTTTCCATATGGAATCGTGTGTATAAGCTTTGTTTAGTAGAATTTGATGTTGTTTTTGTCATAGTTGGAAATAACAAAGCTTAATCTTTAATGAAATTGACTACTACCAGCTGCAATTGTGGTAGTTATTGAAATTTCTATTTGGTATAAGCCAAATTGCTGTATCGACCACTGTTGTAGATAATAGCACATAATTCTTATTCAGTATTAACGAATAGGTCTTTCTAACAGTCAATTTTTATTTTTTATGAATGGTCAGGCTTTGCCCTTTCCACTGATACCGGACAGAACACTGCACTCTACTAAATTCGTTTTTAAAATTGAAGGAAAATATAAAAAATGTTAAATAATCTATAATTAAAAAAATGTTTATGATATCGACATGAAATTTGGTAATACTCGAATATATACATAGTACACTTAATTCTACTTGGAATTATTTCAATTGTAAAAGCAGTAAAGTTGCAATTGATTATTTCAGTTTTCAAACCTTTTTGGGGTTGTCTTCTTTAAAGAATAGACATGAAAAAAGTCATACCACATTGCGGCCCAAATGTTTATTTAACCGTGTGTATACATTTTTCCGGTTTTGGGGATATTTATAAAACGAGACTTTTTGCGGCAACGAGGGGTTGGTGTTTCAGATTGGAAGAGAGCAACGTCGGAGGCTGCTGCCGCCGACGACTGCCGGCTGCGACAGATCGAGTTACACAAAGGCAGCTTTTTAATTGGATAACGTCATATCGACACATTCGCACGCGTGTCCTAACTTTTCCCATCGATTTGCTGGGTCCCACTATTTCGGAGCGGCGTGGCGCGGCGCACTATGGGATATTTGCATGATCACGAACTGCAACTCTAATAGTTATAACAATTTTTATTTACCTTGGCGCTCGCAATGCAAAAAGCGGTACTTGCATGAGTGCGGGATGTTTTAAGTTTAAAACTTCTTTAGCGAGTTGAGTTGTTTTTGCTATTAATGAAAAGAAGGCCTAATCTTTAATACTGCACAAGAATCAAATGCTTTTGTCTGCAACTGTGGTAACAACCAATTTTTATTCTATATTAAAGAGTATGCTTTTCTCTTTCCAATGATACCAAAAACAACACTGAATTCTACTAAATAAGTCTTAAAATAAAAATTTCCGTACTGATGCGAAGATTGCGCGACGCCAGCATGTACAATAAAAATTGCTGTAGCTACTACGATTATGAATAGAAGCAATCTTTCTTCTATATTAAATAGTAGGCCTTGATCTTTCCAACCATACCAGAAACAATACGAAATTCTACTAAACGAACCTTATGCATACGATTTCATTTGGAAAATGTTTTTTTACCACGTTTGGTAGGCAAATACCCTATAGTGGGGCGGTCAGCTACTGCCATTCCGTGCGGGATCGAAACGCTGTCGTCGTCCCGGCAGCTAGCTCGGTCTCACCTCACCTAACACCCCCTCGTCGCGCTCCTTCGTCGTTCACGCTTTGGCTCCGCAATCGGACCCGTTTTTCCATCGTCATCGATACACGATGCGCGAACTCGTTAGCTGCTCTGACGAGAGTTCCCGCGAAAAAAATACGATACACCTACCCTAGGCGCCGACTGGCATTCACCCGCGCGACGAACACCAGCAGACCGCCCCTATCAAAGAACGCGATTGTGTTCCCAATTTTCAATCAGTCCGCGACAGAGTTCGGGGCTGGGGTGACCTCATACCCGTCCCACGGCTCCGTGACCGACGAGTCCTGTTTTTCCTTGCGTGTTGGGATGCACGCCGCGCCCCTCTGTCGCGGCATTGTTTTCATGAGCGTTTTTTCAATGAACGCCATGAAATTCTTGAAGACTCGATTTGCGAAAGACCTCCTGTTTGCACGTAATACTCGTGATTTTTTTGTTCGATTAATTAGGCGAATGATTATTGTTGAAATATTATTTTAACTTGAGACATTCAGTTTACTGTAACTCGGTGAATTGTCACCTGGGTTTCAAATCGTTCTATAAAACTAAAAGCTTTCTTTAGTGAAAAGTCAATATTTGTGAATTAACTCACACAAGTTGTTGAGGTGGGGTGAAAATTATCGCGAAGATAACTTGGGAATAATCATTATGTTGCGACCTATCAGAAACTTACACCGAAAGGCGATCAGTCCCCTTGTGCATTTCCATTATTGCTTCGAAGATACCGGCATCCTTAATGTCATTAACGGATAGAAGTTACGAACTATCCTATTGGAGAGCTGAATCTTTCATGCGTTTTCGACTGTCCCACTACGAACCACTTCGACCTCTGTTTCTATGTTTAATGTCATAGAAAAGCATCTTTTCAGGTGTCAGAGTAGAAGTAAGGGGACGACTCGCAACGTTCCAATTATTCATAACCAATTACGGATCCGAAGAAACAGCTACCGCTCCCCGCAGACACCACCAAGACACGGCACAGGTAATTCACTAATGTAGAATCGCCCGTTCTCCCCTCGAACATCGCCTTTTATCCCGGCCCGTCCTTATTTCACCGACACCCCCTCTCGGTCTCTGTCACTCGCGGCAGCGTCGCGATTCTTCTTTCTCCCTTGCAGCCCCCGATTCGAACCATCGCAGACCCCTACCGGCGCGTTATCTATCCACTTGAAGCGAGCTATTACGCGATTGTATCTTAAATAAAATATCACCGGCGTCCCGTCGCCAACCACTCAAAATAATAATTGCCTCCTCGGTGTCAACCCTCGCCCTCCGACTCTTCGACCCCGACCCTCGTCCCGCTGTCTTAACCCTCGACCGACACGTCCATCTTTCTGTTCTGCCCGTCTCGTGTATGAGACGAGACGCGAAACGGGGCAGATGGGAGAAATTTGTTTACTGCTTCTTCGCCTAACAATGAACGTGAACGGTGGAATCGAGTTGTGAGAATTGAGAGTTGATTCGAGTTTTAGTGGTTGGAGGTGGCTGGAAATGAGAAAAGTAGAAGTTTAAGATAAATAAAATTTTGGAATTTACCTGGGATAAATCGAAGTCTTGGTAGAATCTTTGGAGATTCGAGTTAAGTGGAAATATGATTCGTTTGCCAATGATTTTCATTTGTTGATGTTGAAGATAGATTTAATTGTATGTTAGTTTGAGAATATGATGGTTAATGATTTTTCGAATCAACATGATTAATGGATGAACATATTGACGAAGGTATTAGACATCATTTTTTTATTGGAAGAGGATCATAAATTCTATGTTGGAAACGATGGTAAATACTGTAAGTAGGTGCTAGGATAATTCATTTTAGTTCGCGCCTCCGTCGCAAGATAGAGCTGCGATCAAAAGTACCTGCGGTGGAAAAGAATGAAAACGCGGATACTACTCACTGTTTATTTTATAAGTATTTTCGTAAAAATTGGATGGTATTTACATATCAATTATGAAATGTACAAATTAAAAGAATTAATAAATAA